GGAGGATTAGCCCTAAGCTAACATCTGCCACCAATCCTCCTCTTTTCCCTGAGGAAGACTGGCCCTGAGCTAACATCCGTGCCCATCTTCCTTTACTTTATATGTGGGATGCCTACCACAGCATGGCTGGACAAGCAGTGCATAGGTCCACACCCAGGATCTGAACCAGCAAACCCCGGGCCGCTGAAGCAGAACATGCAAACTCAACCACTGTGCCACCTGGCTGGCCCTCTAATTTGCAATTTTGTTTAAAAGGAAGATAATATATTTTCACTAATTGTTCCTACTGTGCCAAAAGAAAGTTAAGCAGGCATCTTCATAATTATGAGATTACTGAGGGTAGAGTTCAGGATTTTCTATTAAGTCAGTGAATCTAAGGAGATCTACAGTGCTAAAAGTGCTGTGAATGGTCACTCAGTGCAGTGTGGAGCTTGAGTCCATCCAGGATGGTTGTGCCCAATTTTGATATCCTGTTATGGATAAATGTGCACTGGAAAAAGAAACCAAAGAACCACAATGTGTCTTATACTTTTGTAAACCACGTTTTTCGGATAACTTTTCAATTTTCCCAAAAGGGAAATTTCAGGATTCTGAATACATCAGTGTTAATTTTGAATTGGCAGAGCTAACCTAGCCAACTACCGCTACATTTTGGTACAATGAGATATACCTTTCAATAAAGTTATCGGAATGAAAAAAAACAATTAAAAAAAAAGAAGTCAGGATGGTATTACCCATGGGACAATGTCATAAAGATCATAAATGGAGCTCTGAAGTGTTGGTAAGAGTCTGATTCTTGATCTGGATGCTGTTTATAAGGGTGTGTCAATTTTGTGAAAATTTATCAAACTGAACACATACAATAAATTTATACTTTCCTATATGTATATTATATTCCAATGAAAACTTTAAAATGATACAATGGCCTCATATTAATTAAAAGGTGGTGTGTGAACTGAAATGGAAATTTCAGGCGTTTTCATTCCAGTTTTCCTTTTTTGTGCCTGAAATATTTGAGTCAAAACACATTTTTTAAATAAACATACTTCAGACCATGAGTAAGCTCTGGCTCTCTATTAAGAGACCATAGATGAGAAATGTGATAATGGTCTTTTGCCTCCATGTGGGATGCAAATGTAGGACTTTTGACCTCAGAAATGTAGTCCAAGGAGCCTGACTATGGACAGTTTGCATCATTGGGAAAAGTGGAACAGTCTGTTGAATAGGAAAGGAGGACAAATCTTCAGGATACTTGCCCCTTATTGATCAGAACAGAATACACGGTGACCCCAAGCTGCAAAAATCTGGGGAAGGGAATCCATTTTTATCCAGGAACATTGTGAATTAAAAGAACATCAGGATTCTGTTAGCAAGGATGAAGAAATGCATCCACTATTTGTAGGTGACAAGCAGTACCTGCCATGGCCTTAAACATTAAAGGGCTCCCATAGCATTGTGGCATGTTATATGGTCAATAAGATTTGTTAGCCAACATCTTTGCCGTAATTATCATTACCTCAGAATTTAGTGCGTGTTTCCAGTTTGCTGTAATAGTGGGTAAGAGAGTTCATCCTGTCTTTGGATCTGGCAGTCTGGTGAAATGGAAGAGAGGAATGTGTTGATTGGTGGCATTTATAAAAGAGCTTTGGAATGATTGTCTTCAGACTCCATATGAGATAAGGAAGCAAGAAAAGATAAGGGAGAGATAATGTTCAGAAAAAATGTAGAGGGGTCAGATACTTAAAGTTTCAGTAGACAGGAAAGCAAGAAAGAAGATTCACAATCAACCTAAATGAACATTCCAAAGTCTTCCATCACATTACAGCCTCCATGGCAGAGACCCAGGCAATTATTTACAAGCAATGAGTACAGTGATCACAGGGCTCCAAGGATCGTGCTCCAGGTGTGCCCTCTACCACATGGGCTTTGAGTGTGAGGCTACTTTTCTCTACCATTTCTATCTATGTATAGAAGCATATGCAGACTTTATAATGTAATGTAGTGTAGTGGATGAGAGCTGAATCCATCTGGATAGTCAGAATTTACTCATTTACCATTTATGGCACTGGCTGAGGGATTTGAGCACCATCTGACCTTACTGTGGCTGTGTTTGTTTGTGCAAGGACCCCTTGGAAGCACATTCAGTCCTACCTGCGATGACTCCTTCCAGAGAAGAATGATTCACCAAGGAATTTGACTATTTATTTTCTAAATTGACCTAACTGCCTCCTATTTTCCCATGGACATCTTCCTACTTTGGCCTCTCATCCCCATTTTGTTGTAAACATTCAACAGCCCCTGTGAAAATTCCTTCCACATGCCTTCACTGAAACCTGACTGTTTGGAATACAGTTTCTCCCTCTTGTCCTTCCCCCTTATTCTCTCTCATCTGCAACACCTCAGATTTAGAGACGGGAACAGCATTCCCCTCACCCCCCCAAAAAACCAAACTATTGTCTGTGTACCTTTCAGACCCAGGCCTTTCACCCCTATTGTTCCCTACCCCTTTTTTCACTACCGTCTTTATAAACACCAGATACTCTTCCTTATAGACTGAGGACTTAACACAGCTCAGAAGATTCCACTGTGACCTGAAACACTGTAGAACTTAAATGTCCAGGTGGTCAATTCAAAGAGAAGCCTGAACTCATCAACTTTAAAGACTTAACTAGAATCCCCTTTAGCCATTAACGCCCATGGCCACACTCTAGAAAGATCTGATGGTAATTATCCAGTTAGATGCTGCTCCTCTGAAATCTTACATCCTGTCTGAAACCTTGCATGCTTAGATTCTTATACTCAGCTCCTTCTACAGCACTTGTTCTTGGACGATATGTGATCATTTACTGTCCTGATAGCTTTACTGTCATTTTATTTCTCAGAGGCTTCCTGTTTTTTATTTTCTTATCTAAACCTTTAAAATCCATGGTCCTACTTCAAGAAATCTTTAGTCATTAGTCTCATTGTTCTTGTCCCAATTCTGTGTTCTATCAATGATTTTATTAATTCTCAATCACGGATCAATATCCACTTTCTTGTAATGTATACTTTATCTGTTAAACAGAGTTCAAGATAATCACACCGGGGTACAGACTGGTGTCATTGAAACCTGTTGTCATCTTCAACACTAACTAGGCCCACAGTGTTGCCAGGAAAGAATTCTTTTTCTCTACAGTTGTCTCCCATTGTCATTTCCTACAGTGACAGTTTCAAAAATTCTCATACTCCTCAGACTTTTTAACCCAGAACCTTCTCCATTCTTGGGAGGCATATAATTTCTACTCATAAAAACAAAAACAATTCCATTAGAAATTAATAGAAGTTTCAAATTTCTGCCTTCACACCCTGAAAAATTACTGAAATCTACACCAATCTTTTCCTCCTCCATTCCAGTAACATTGGAAATAACTGTTCCTCACTGTGCTGAAACGTGGTTCTTCTACCTCTGGTCCATGTTCCAATTCTATTTATCTCTTCAGAACTTTGATCCACTGCTTATAGGTCCTTTCCAAAAGCATGTAAATATATCCCAATCTTTAAAAACCCTGCTATTACCACTTCAACATCCTTGTCTAGTTAACACCATGTCTCTTTCCTCCTCTTCAGAGTTGAATTTCTGGAAAGAGATTTCTATGTTCAGATCTTTTTCTTCCTTGTCTCATCTCCATTCCTCATCCAACTGAGTTCAGCTTCTGTTGAAAAAATTCAATCATGATCTTTGTGCTGTTAAAAAGCAATAGACACCTTCTAGTTATCATCTTACTAGACAGACATTTCTTCAGCATTTGCTCTGTTGGACATTCCTTCCTTCTTAAAACTCCTTTCCCTTCTCTTTCAGAACACCAGTCATTTCTGATTTCCCACTTCCCTCTCTGCACTACTCTTTGGGGTTTCTTTGATACTTTTCCAACTGCCTGTCCATTCAGCGTTTGTGTTCCTTGGGGATTGTCTTTAGTTTCTATTCTCTTCTGAGTTTTTCTCTGAGTATTTTTCTTGATGAAATTAAATCTGCACTTAGAGGGCAATACCATATCATAGATAACACAGTGGGTGAGGAGCTGGGCTTGGAGTCCAACAGGATTAGTTCTAGACCTGGTGTGTCCTTGGGCAAAATTTATAAAATGAGGATGATAATATGATTTACTTCATAGGATTAAATAATGCTACTTAGTTCATAAGATTAAAAGAGACTCTTAATAAGTGGACTCCTGAAAACACTCTCATCAGATTACAATCCTAACGAATTCAAACCTAGATATGAGGAGGAAGGTGATGGGACCAAAAAACCTTAAGACTCAATTTGTTTCTATATTTGACCTCCAGAGGGCGATGTTGCACAAACTGGAAATGTCTTGAAGTAAAGTTCTGTGAGCTCCTTCACCTCACAGCTCACTGAGGGGCGCATTCTGAGTAGGCTCAACACCAGGAACAGTCCTTGCCAAGGAAACATCTCTTACTAATAGTCCGTAGAACTGGCCTAAACAGGGATCTCTTGCATCTCAGATTTTCTCAGTTACGAGGACTCAGCATACTCTGGCAACATTCCTTCCTGCTCCTCAGGAAAGATCTTCCAGAATATAGCTCTCCACTTCCTCACTGCCTAGCCATGTTCTCAATGACCATTCTGCTGCTTGGAATGCTCTTCACAGTGAGTAAGTAACATTGTATCCCATGCTCCTGCCTCCAAAGAAGGAACATTGTTCCAATGGGAATCTGAATAGTGACACTGTCTCCTTATAGGTTGGTCTGTCTGTCCTGGTCTCACTGACTCAGCATTGATCTTTCAGGAGGAACCGGAGCCCAGTCAGTGACCCAGCCTGACGACCACATCAGTGTCTCTGAAGGAGCCCCTCTGGAGCTGAGGTGCATCTATTCCTATAGTGGAACTCCTACTCTCTTCTGGTACGTCCAGTACCCCAGCCAAGGCCCCCAGCTTCTCCTCAAGTACTATTCAGGGAACACCCGGGTTAAAGGCATTAAAGATTTTGAGGCTGAATTTAAGAAGAATGAAACCTCCTTCCATCTGAGAAAATCATCAGCCCATTGGAGTGACTCGGCTGAGTACTTCTGTGCTTTGAGTGACACAGTGACTGAGTCTGTAGGGGGAGCTGAACACAAAACTTCAGAGTTACTGAGGTTTTCAGAGACTTAAGGACATAGCCTAAACTGTTTTTATCAAGATCTCTCATTGAGCAGGGTGGCGACCAAAGCTCTGGGGAGTGCTTGTCTCCGGAGGATAAAAGGAACATTTGTGCTCCTTCTTTTACTGCTGGGTCATGTTAAATAAGACCTAGAACAGAGAAACGCGTATGCACATTCTCCTTCTACTTGGAGATACTGCATTCTAGAGGTTCAGGATTCTAACTTAATGTGACCAATACTGACTTCTGATGTTTCACCTTCTGAACTCACCTCTAGCATGCTCTTCCCACTACCTTCTGTTTTTCAATTGATAGCACCTGCATTTTTTTCAGTATCTCTGGTCATAACCTCAGAGTTGTCTTTGACTCTTGTTTTTCTCTCCCTGCTTACATCTGTCAAATTAATAAACAGAAACCTTATTAAATTGGAGTTGGAGTTGGGAGGTGCAAAGAGAGAGCTCTCATGCCCTATGTCACTAACAGGGCCCAACAGGAAGAACAAAGACTTCCTCTTCTTGAATAGCAGGAAGCTCAGCCAATGAGACACTGTCACCACCCAGCCAACAAAAAGCCAACACACATCAAATTTGCAATTTCTTCAATGGTCTCTGTTTACAATAGCCCTTCCAGCTTCCTCTTACCTTCTATAAAAGAGTTTCTCTTCGCTTGCTGCTGAGGGGCTTGCATGTGGCTCACCATGATTTTAGACCCTGAATTGTAATTCTTTGCCGATCCCAAATGAACCCATTTTTGCTGGAAAAATAATTGGCTATTTTTTTAAGGTCAACACATCTAATCTGTCATGAAATCCAGCTGGCTTTTCTTAAAAATCAACCCATAATCTAACCTCTGCCACTATCTCCACAGCTAGCTCTTTACTCAAATCACCCTCATCTCTCAAATGAACTACTTTGACATTCACTTTAAATATAATGACATAGGTAGATTAAAAGTAAAAATATGGAAAAAGATACCCATGCAAACACTAATCTGAAAAGGCTATACTAATGTCAGACAAATTAGACTTCAGAAACAGAAATATTACAGAAATAAATAGGGATGTTGCAGAATTATAAGAGGACAAATTTACTAAGAAGACATAACAATGTTAATGTGTGTGCACTTAACAACAGAGCTTCAAAATACTTAAAGCTAAAACCGTCAAAACTGAAAGGAAAAATAGACAGATCTGCAATTACACTTGGAGACCTTAACCCTTTGTGATCAATAAGTAATAGGCTAAGTAGTTAGAACTCAGCAAGCGTACACGGCAGACCTGCACAACACTGTCAACAAATTGAACTTATTTATATTTATGAGAACTCCACTAAACAACAGAAAGCAATGCTTAGAAGAAAATTTATAACAATAAATGTTTACGTTAGAAAAGAAAAAAAGTTTCAAATCAATAACCACATCTCCTCCTTGGGCGTGTCTCTGGTGATGATGTCGTACACAGAATGGAAAAATCTCAGCAATCCAGGAATCACTGTATTGAGTTCAGCAAAACTAGAGTATTTTCTGCTATTACAGCACCAGTTATCCAGCTAGAAAATGCTGTGCCGTTTACAACTTATATTGCCCTCCTGAGCTCAAAGATTAAATTGAGACACCTTTATTCTCATCAGATACCACAATTCTGGAACAGGTCATGAGCCTTCCTGTTACAGTGATGCTCTCAGAGAGGGTACAGGAAAACTCTACTCCTTTGTATTTTTCAGAAATTACTAGTTATGAAGATGATCTGCACAAAATGAATGCTGTTACACATGATGGATTAAAGCAAACATCATAGGGCACCTTACAACGCATCTGTATATTTTCACACAAGGAAGGACATCACTTGTTTCTTTACAGCTGTTTCTCCTTGTGCTGATGAAATAGAAAATCATTTCTCTGTCCTGACACAGCCCTGATTATCAACTGGGGTCATAAAATCTTTTCTTCTACTACAACACCAAGTACGTGCAAAATTTTCTCTATCTTCTCAAAACTGTGTGGAAGACACTTGGTAAGAGAGGAGGTAAAGATAGTTAGATATTTTCCATTATTCAATGGGTGAGAATCCACACAAGTGAAGGGGAACACGGGCAGTTTACTCACCCATATCTCCTGCCTAAAGTGTGAGCTTTAGTTCATTAAAACGTCAGCCTATAACAGCTCCTCAAGACTATTCTCTCTCTCACTGACACCTTCAATAGCAGCAGGCTCTTTCTTGGCAGATCTTAATATGGAAATTAGAATGGGACTGATGCGTGCCCTCATATTATCACAGACTGATTCACGGCATCAGGCCAGAAAGAATTCTGTAGAAAAACTAAATGATGGAGGCAAAAGTCAGAATGGGATGTGCAGCTGAGCCAGGAGATACGAACAGGAAAGGGTAACAAGGCCTGAATGCCCGCACGTGGCCTTACTTCTGTGCTGCGCCTCTGTGACTGCAGGCACAACAGAAAACACAGGAGGTCCTATGGAAAGATGGTCTGAATGGGGCATTGGAGACGTACAGGTGCCCTCAGAACTTTCTAAATTTCTTCCAAATGTCCCTTCCTCAGTATGTGACTCCCTGAAGCTCCTCTGTGTTGAATGAAGAATTTCTTGAAGGGGCAAGTCTTTCTCTCCTTATCTCTTCCATAATCAATGCCACCTTTAGGGTATGTGTCATCTGGGATCACAGACTCCATCAGGACATGTTGCAGTACCCCGTGCAGCTTCCATTCCGGTTGAATGTGAAGCCAGGCCCCAGCTTTGCTCCTCTGCTGGAGATGAGCATTCACTGAGGTTCTGCAGTAACTGTGCTGTGGTTCTTCTCTAGTCCTGGAGGAGCACGCACCTCCCAGCCTCTCACTGCCATCACCTGGGGTCTACCTACAACCACAGCTCAGCAACTGGTAAAAGCATAGTCCAGGACTGATGGCTTCCCTTCCAAAGACTGGATTTTCAGATTCAAGGATACAAGAATCTGTGACAAATGACATGGCCTCCATGCCAATCGTTGCAGACAGAAAGTCTAGCAACTCGAGCCTGCCCTGGTGAGGCAGAGAGATGACTGTGCTCTGAGAGACACACAGATGACAGATGAGGCTGCTCCTGTGCAATAGCTCCATGACGAAGAGAAGTTGCAGCCTAGGAAGGCAAATGAAGAAAATACACACAAATGTTTTCCCAAGGTCAGAATGCTTTCTCTCTCTCTTCGACAGGAAAGCCCATATGAGACATGCTTCCTTGGTCAAGGGACTGGGTAAGGATAATGATAGTGATATTGAAATCTATCATTTCACATCGCTTTCTTTACCAATGAAGATCAAAATTTAGTTAACAGAGCATGCAATTCAAGAAATTAGAAGAAAAACAAAAGAAACCTGAGGAAAGTGTGGAAATAGCATTAATAAATGTGTAAGCATAAGTTGATGAGAAAAATAAATAAAATTGATGAGCAATTTTTTAAAAGTTGGATCCTGATAAAAGTAGGAAAATAAAAAAAAACAGAAGACAGATATAATTCAAAATGAAAAAATGGCAGATAATCAAATATATGGAAGAAAAAATAATTTTTCATAAGATAGTTTTAGCATTTAAATAAATTTTAAAACCTTGATATGATGAAAAAGTATTTATATACATCTGTGTATGTGTATGTAGTATATATTTTTGTATATATACACATATGTTTTTCTACTATTTGGCTATATCAATTTCTGTTTTATTTCTCCTGTGGGTTTCTTCTTCCTTCTGTTCAAGCAGATGGTGTCTCTGTGCTTCAACATATAAATGATGATGTCTGGAAAGAAAGCTCTATTTGCCTGGAGGGCCTTCTGGCTTGTTTTGAAGAATCTAAATTCATTAAAGAACACATAGGGCTTATGGAAGTAGAAGACTTAGAAGAGGGTTTGTGGTGGGAAACAGAAGAAAGAGGCTTTGCCAAGTGAGAAGAGCGGGGTCTGCAGGTCCAGGAGCAGCGGGAGTCAGGTCATTGTTCCTTGACAGTTTTCTAAGAATTAGTAAAACCCAGCTCAGGAAGGCTATCTAGTGACTTTAGGAAGAGTTCTGAGCCTTGCAAAAGATGCTCAGGGCACCATAAACCTGAAAAACAGAAGCTTTCTATTTGAAATACTCCTAAAAGAAACAGTTTATAGTACGTTGGATAGTATTTTTAATGTTTATGAATATCCCCCAAGAGGCTCATGTTTGTATTTCTACCCACAGACCTCAGTGACGCTGTTTATTTATTTATTTTATCTTTTTTAAACATTGGCCCTGAGCTAACATCTGTGCCAATCGTTATTTTTCTTCTTCTTCTCCCCAAAGCCCCCAGTACATAGTTGTATATTCTAGTTGTAGGTCCCTCTAGTTCTGCTGTGTGGGATGCCACCTCAGCATGGCTCAATGAGCAGTGCTAGGTCCACACTCAGGATCTGAACCGGTGAAACCCTGGGCACTGAAAGGGAACACGCAAACTTAACCACTCAGCCATGGGACCAGCCCCAGCGACACCATTTATAGATAAATTGGTTTGTGTGAGTGATTATTGGGCAAAGATTGGAGCTTGTCTCTTATTGTCTTCACAGCCACACACGCTATTCTTTTTCTTGAAGTATAAGATATCAACAATTCTGAACTTTAGAGCATCTTAGGTTTGAATACTTGCCTGGGACAAATGGAGAAGACCCTGGGATCTTCAGCTCAACTCTTGTTGCCGCACCTTGGATGCGAACACAGAAGATCTCAAAGCTTTTTCCCAACAGGCTCCTGGATGTGGCACAGTCATGCTTGTTGGCATTATCCAGGGTTCCCCATAAGAATGTATACAAAGGGTGCAAAGTCTGTAGTGAGATCGACAGTGTGTCTTACGCTGTCTTGTCCATCAACAGGGAGCAGAGTTCTTGATCCCTGCATGCCAAAGGGGGGAAGGGAGATGAAAGTTCCTATTCCTATTTTTATGCTTTAACAGATACAGACAGAATCCCAGGAAGGACTGTCAAACTCCTGCTTGTAATAAATTTAAGTTGTGGTGAAAAGGAAGAGAGAAACTAAGAGGTACCCTTA